CTGCGGAGGGCCGCGAGCGGAGCGGGATCCACGGCCAGGCTTTGGGAGAGGAGCAGGAGCCAGAGCCTGCCCTGGAGCCTGGTGGGTCTGGGAGCCCCAGGGAGACCCCACAGCCTCTGGAGCTGGCCCTGAGCCTTGCTCACTTATGCTTCTTTCTCATAAAGAGATGTTAGTAAAACAATCACACAGCCTTGTCAAGACTCAATTGCAGGTGAAAACCCAGCACATCTCTACCCAAACATGGCCAACCACCCACAACTTCCAGGACCATTCCTCGCCTATCGTAGAAGAACTGATAGGAATCCATGACCACGCCCTAATGGTTGCACTGACAATCTGCAGCCTAGTCCTCTGCCTGTTAACCCCCACACTTACAGAAAATCTGTCATCACGTACAGTTGATGCACAAGAAATGGTCCCCATGATGGTCCCCATGTTCTGAGCAGCTCCTGTGGCCAGCACAGCTCCTGTGCGCTGTTGGCAGCAGAAGTGGCTCCATCTCAGTCCCTTCCAGCCTCCTGACCCAGCTCAGCTGAGTCTGACCTGGGTCTGAGCTAGAAACAAACCCTCTCTTGCCAGAGGCTCCAGTTCAGCGTGGCCATTTCGGCTGATTTGAGCTTTTCCCTCCATAAATGCAGAAAGACAAAAGTTTGAGTGTTTTGCTGAGTTGAGGCTGTCCTTCAACTCAAACTGCACATTGCAAGGTGAGAAGGAAAGGGGTTTTTGTGTCCTGCAGGGATCTGCTGTCCTGGCACCACAGGCAGCAACCATTGTCCTCCTCTCTCCTTCCATGGCTGGCTGTTGAGTGACATCATCCACCATTCCCTCCCTTCATTTATCTGGTGGCATGAGGATGTTTTTTGCCTCCATTCTTCATGGAAGCAGAACTTTTGTGTTGGAAGTTTTAGCAGCAGCACAGGTGGGCACTGCTTGCAATGAGGTTTCCCTATGAAAACCACACATTCCTCCCTTGATGTGATCCCTCTCTCTACCTCAACCCTATTGACTAGAAAATACCAAGATTTTAGTACTGAGACTTTAATACACTGCACATTTTGCTAATTTTCTTTCTGGCTGTGAGCCTCTGTGGTATCATTTTCCAGCAGTTTACTCAGAGGGCTCAAAACTTTCTTTTTTTTTGTTTAATGAAAGTGGGAATTCTCCTCGAGTCCCCTGACTACAGCAATGGCAGCCTAAAGAAAAACAGAACGTGACAGAAAGTGGATGAATGGCTCCAGTGCTATTGCAATAATGTGTAAGGAGCCCATTTGTGCTCTGTGCTGTGTGAGCTGTGAGAGGACACTCCTTGTTGAAAGAGCTGTGTGTAGTTTGAGATTTTTGAATGTGACTAAATCCCTTGTGCTTCTCCTTCTTTAGCTTGGCTCTGTGGATCTCACGGATGTGAGAGCTCTCCTCTTTCTGCTTTATTTCTTTTGGGCATTTTTCAGTCCTAATCATAAAAACTAGAATTTCTCAGCAATTTCAAGTCTGGAGACTTCCTGACCTGTATCATTTCATGCCCAGGGAAAATAAACTTCTTCCTATGGTTTGAGCCTTAATGACTGCAAAGTATATATAGTCAATTTATAACACGCATGCTGGATTATCCTGTGCATGGCTTTACAGCTTTTACAGCATTTATCAGCAGAGTGCTCATTTCAAACATGCTGTTTTAATGAAAAGGATACCGTTGCCACTGTTTTGTGTTGATTATGTGGTAACACATTTTTATTATCACCCATAAAAATGATTTGGAGCCGTTCCACTCCAGATGCGACCTCGGGCAGAGCCACGGGCCCCTGTGCTTTGCTGGGCCCTGACCACGGCTGCAGGGATTGAACATCCCTGTTCCCACAGCTCTGCAGAACACTGGCCAAGACAGCCCCTGGGTGCCCCTTCCTCACAGCAGGAGCATCCCAGCCCTGCCCTGGCTGCAGCCCCTCTGATTTGCCACCTCCAGGGTTTATTCTGCCTCTCTACCCGAGCTCATCTTGGCAACATCCAGATGTTTGCTGGGGAAGTGAAAGGATGATATAATAAATAATATAAAGTGATGCAGAAAAGGTCTTCAGCTCACACTTGAGTCCCATGGCAGTGGAAGTGAAGCACAGTTATGGTAAGGAACATGCTTAAGTGTTTGTTGAACTGATAACATGTTTCCTGGAAAGTCTGAGGAATAAATCACTGGGTAGGAGCACGGAGTGCAAGAGGCAGATGGAATTGATTCCTTCCTGCCTGGCATCAGTCAAACCTGGTGAAGAAAACCATTGTGACCTTACTCCATTTTGCTGTACTCAGAAAGCAGGACTCTGGATCTGTAAATAAAGATCCTTGCAATAAAGGAAGAATTTTGCTTGTTTGCAAGAGTGAGGTTCAGTTCCCTTGCACTTAACCCAGCTCCCAGTTTAATTAGTTTCTGATTCACCCCCATCAGGCCAGTACATTCTGCAGGAAGTTCATCATTCCTGGCGCTGCTGCAGTGCTGGCTCTCACCAGGCCTTGCAATAAAGAAGTGATAAACCTTGTAATAATTGCAAGTTAAAAACAAACAAGTGGAGCCAAGTCACTCTCATTTATAATTGCAGTGTGACTTCATTATGTAAAAACAACACAGTGTGTAAAGGCTGAAACTTCTAGGGATTTAATGGAAAGTTTGAGTTTCCCTTTTATTTCCCTTATCCCTAAATTAGTATTGCTTAGGTGGTTTTCAAAGAGGAAAAGATGATGCTGTAACAAACCTCAGTGCTGCATGCCTGGAAAAATGTTCCCGTGTTGGAGACCAATTCCCAGTTTCACAGAGGCTACCAGAGGGCAGGGAGCAGAGCCTGAGGGACAGCCTGGACCATATGGGGAATGTGGGGTCATTTTGCCAAGGAGAGAAGGTTGTAAATGGCCCAAACACCTCAGGGATGCCTGTTGGGATGTGGGTTTGTTTGCAGGTGTGTGTTTGCGAGGCCTAGAGAGGTGTGAGTTTTAATAATATCCTACTGCTTCTAAGCAGAGCTCATTGAGTAAATAGACTTTCTTTCTTTTTTTTTTTTTTTTAATTGCTTCAAAGTTCAAGTACTTCAACTCTCTAAAATCTTCATCTTCTCCATCATCTTTAATTCAGTCGATATTTGTGCCTTTACAAGCAGTACTTGTCCTCTGTTTGCTACCCTGGGCTTTCAGGTACAGCCCTTCACCTCATCCCAGCTGTCAGTAATTCCTGATTTTCTGGCTCTGGTTTGAGCACCAGGGAAATGCTGTGTCCCTGACAGCAGCTTCAGTCCTTGCTCTCATGTTTCTCACCAGGGACACAGTCCCTCATGAGGCCAGGTCCCTCTGGAGGCAGTGAAGTCCTCTCCAAGGAGGGTGTGTGTGGGATACACTCACAATTAACACAGCAGCTTCCTAATTGATGCTGATTTCCTAAAACCAATAAAGCTTTTATGCCAAAATCCCATAATCTGTGAACAGAGTTATTCCCAGCCCTGTCTGGCAAGAAGAGGAGTTTAGGAACTCCTCAGGAATCGAGACCATCCAGGTCAGAGATTATGGAATGTTCTGAGTTGGAAGGGACCCACAAAGACCACCCAGTCCAACTCTGAAGGAAAGGGCCCTCGTGGGGGCTGAACCCATGTCCTGGTTTGAAAAGCCAGGTGTTTGCTAAGGAAGGCAGGAGCCTTCCTTGAAATGGAAAATGTAAATTGTAAACCCCCTCTCTCTGAATTATTATAATTTTGAAACTAAGGGGCTCTCAGGCAAAGATATGGGAGTAGAAATAACAGTTCTTTACTAGGGAAGAAAATAAAAATAGAAAATGCAGTACTACAAAACAAACCACAGCCAGAGTGAGAGCAGTCCCTGCCCCCTGTGTGTCAGGGCGGTGTCCCAGCCCCATCCATGGGGGCTCAGCCCTCCTGCAGTGCCAGCTGTGGCTCTGCTGCAGCAGGGATCCTGCACAAGGGGGGAGTTTTCCTCTGCAGCTCCAGGGCTGCTGCAGATGGGCCTGGGCTCCCTCTGGCCATGCAGGGCAGCAGAAAGCTGCTCCTCTGGCAATGCAGGGGGCAAAGGCTGCTGTGCTGGGCCAGGCTCAGATTGGATCCAGGCAGGAATGCTTGGCTCCTCCCCTGGGCGGAGCATCTCCCCATGGGATGCTGGGATTGGATCAGCCCTGCAGGGACACTCAGGAGCCATGGACAGCAGAGATCTCCTGGAGGGAGGGTTGGTGTGGGAGAGATAAAGAAAAAACTGCCCTATGAACAGCAGAGAACTGCCCTGTCGGAATTCTGAACATCCCTCTGGCTGTCCTGGAGTGCCAAGATCTCTGCCAGGGGCTCAGAGACTCTGGCACAGAGCCCAAGGTGCCCCTGTGGTTTTGATTATGACCCATGGAAAAAGTTACCAACCTTATATGAAGATCTGCAAGCCACAAGTTTAAGTAGAATGATGGTGAATTTATCACAGGGTGAAAAATAGATTTTTAGGGTTTTTAGAATGGAGATTCAGGGGGCAAGATGGAGGGAACTTGGCATGTCCAGCCTTTCTCCATCTTCTTCTTGGCCTCCATCTTCTCCTGTGATGGTGGCACTTTTAGATTGGTTTAGAGTAGAAGCTCACTGTCTAACATAGGTGATAGGTATTGGAAAGTAATTGTAAATATTGTACACACAGTTTTTAATATAAAAAGATAACTGGGGGCAGGAAGAGTGCCTCAGATTGTCTTGCTGAGCGGACCTTGGCTGGACAAGAGAAAAAATTTTATAGGTAAGATACAATAAAAAACCTTGAGACTGAGAAATTAAGAACTCTGACTCCTTCTTCAAGCACCAGGCTGAGAAAAAGACTTTCTAACATATCTCAAAGTCACTCTAACCAGCAGCAATCCCTAGACTGCCCCAGCTCTGACAGATAGCAATAGAATTCACACCCCCATTTCCAACCTAACACAACCCTGGGCTTGTGAGCCCCTTGCAGTGGGAGCCAGCTGAGCTGTGTGTGTTTGTTGCCCTGTGCAGATCCTGCTGCTGGAGGCTGCAGAGAGGAGCCCAGCCCTGGAGAACAACCTGCCCATCACGGGCACCACAGCCACGTGGGACCAGGAGCTGCTGCCCGACGCCTTTCCCCTGCTGAACCCCGGCACCGTCCTCAGGAAGAACGTGGCAGCTGTTGGTAAGGCTGGCCTGCTCTCCCCAAATCACCCATCCCACAAACACCCTGCCTTTGGGGGAGCTAAAAGGAGTCTGGGTCTGCTCTCTCCTCGGGAGCTGCAGAGGAGAGGGGTTGGGAGGTGTCTGCCCTTCCCTGAGCTCAGCCAGAGCAGAGCAGGGATGTGCTTGGAAAATATCCATTGTAGCTGCATTATGCCTGGGGCAGCCACAATTTCTGTTGGCACAAACATCTGCTGGGAGCTGGATTTGGGTCTGTTTGAGTTCTGTTAACCCCAGCAGGGCCACTGTGTGTTTCAGTGGGCTTGTTTTAAGTTTTTTGAGGATTTTGAGGCCTGGACACATCAAAACGTTCCTGAGGAAACTCCAGAGAGCCATCAGGATCACAGTGGGGCAGCTCCTGCTTACCTACAGAGCACCAAATGCAGTGTTTCCCTGTCTGGGAGCAGTGCTGGGGGGTAGAGGAATGGGCTGCATGGGTCATTCTTGGTTTTATTAGGACAAAAAACTTTCCCATGAATAGCAGCATCAGTTGCAGTCTGCTTTATATTTTCTAAATTTGCCATAAACGCAATGGGCTGTTTTATGATCCCTCTTGTGGCATGAAAAAAAAATACACTTATAAGAAACTCTCCCTCCTGAGCCCACTTGGCCAGACAAATCCCCACACATTGAATTTTCTTGACCTTGCCATCTTTTTTCAAGACCCCTGCTCTCTGCTTCCAAAGCCCTGTCTGTCTGTTGCTTTGCTTGCTCCTAGAGCAGTTCTTTATTCTTTAGGGCCTGGTTTGCTTTTTTCTTCTTCTTTTTTTTTTTTTTTTTGGCCCAGGCAGTTAATTATGGCAGCAGACTTGGAGCAACCAAAACAGTCCAGATGTCATCCCTGTTTATGATTTGTCATGATGCCACAACATGGAGGGAGGTTCACTAACAATATGTTCTGCAAAATATTCTCAGAACCACAGCCACAGCTGCCAGGAGCTGAATGAGAGCAGCTTCCCCAGTGTCCATTAGATGCTCATTCTGCCTCTCCCATGTCATTTATTTCTGCTGTGGCAGTGGCTCTGCACTTTGCTGCACCAAAGGAAAATGCTCTGGGCCTTCCATGCCAGGTCCTGTCCTCATGGAGGCTCCTCATACGTGGTCCTGTTGTTTTGCAGAGATAGCCAAAAACTCCACAGTTTTGTGAAAGTTGTAAAGCTGGTATGTTTATTACAGTGCTGGACCATGTGGAGATTGCTCTCCTTAAAAGACATGCTGGGAACTTCAGGTTTCTATTTCCCTCTCAAATACATATGCATACAATTTCACAATAGGTTCATACATATTCATTTTTACGAATTTCGGGTGACATTTTCTGCTAGTTCTTCTTTATCAGAAAGAATTCTTAGGTCAGGTTGACTGCAGTCAACAGCAGTCTTACAGCAGTCTCTGTCTCTCTTTATCAGCTTTTGTCTCCCCGCTCCTTATCTCTGTCCTTCATTAAGCCAGTTTCCCTGAGCCTAGGCCTTGCAGTCAGGCAACATAGCTGTGTTTTCTGACCACAGACTCAAAGGTGTACATTTCACCTAAATCAAAATGGATTTCTACTCTGGAGAATTTCTACTCTGTCTCACTGTGCTGCTGGGCACAGAGCAGTGCCTGCCTCTCCCCCAGGCTTCAGAGCAGCTGCCCTGCAGCACTTTGACCAGCCCATGGTGCAGGGCCAGCACCTCCCAGTCCTGAGCAAGGCCAGGTGGGCACTGGTGTCACCTCCTGAGGCAGGTGGTGATGTCTGAGCTGTGGGTGAGCCTGTGGTGTCAGCCAGCTTCCAGGCTCTGTGTGTGTGCTGCCAGGTGTTGTCCTTGCTCACTGTTACCCTCTGTTTTTCTGGCCTTGATTTATTTAACCTGGTGTGGAATAATAACTGTGGTGTAAGAAAGGAATCAGGAATGCACTGGAGCATTTGGAGCCAGGCCAGGGTCTTTCAGCAATGAGAAATAATCACTTCAGTGGCTCATTGACACTGCTGGAGCCCCTAGCCAGCCTCTGTGGGCTTCAAATTCCTGTTTTGCTCAAGAGCTGTGGAATATTTCATGGATCTGGGTGCATATTTGGCCTCCTTCCCTCCCCACACCAGTCTGTGTCCACAAGTCAAAGCCAGCCAGAAAAACTCAGCGTGGATTTTGGTGGAGTGAAGGGAATTCCACACAATTTGGGATGGAGAGGAGCTGCCCATTTTGCATGATTTCACCACCATGCCCTGACTTGCTGCTCCAAGCTGCCCCCAGGTTTTCTTACAGGGATCTCAGGAGATCTTTGATCATGGGAGATATTGGAGAAGGTGGAAGCCAGGCCAAAATCCTGAGTGTCCTGGGTGATTCTGTGGAAAGCAAACCCTCTGTCCCTCCCACCCCTTCCCCTGAGCCTTTTGGGAGCCATTCCCTACTTTGCCCTGCTGCTGGGGTTCAGCCAAAATAAATCCCAGCCCTGCCCTGCATGTCACACAGGGAGGGACCAAGGGCAGGGTGCTGGGCTGACACCAAGGTGGGTGACAGGGACAGGGTGCTGTGAGCTCTGGGAGGGTTTCTGGATGACCCTGTGGCTCTGGGCTGGCTGATGCCTCTCCAGGATGAGGTTCAGGAGAGCTTGCTACTGTTTGTGAGGGTGGTTATTCCTCCTGTGAGTGACAGAGCTGAGAACAGACAATCATTTAAAAGCAATCAGTGCTGTTGAGACAGCTGCAGCACTGGCCTTTCTGATCAGCTTGTTAATCAACAGAATACATTTTTCTGAGTATTAAGAAAATATATATACTCTGGCTGAGCCAGTTGGCAGCAGGAGACCTAATTTTTCATATCTCTCTATTTTTCTTCTATTCTTTTTTTTGTATTATTATTATTTTACCCTGTCCTTCTTGAACAGAGCCTAAAGGACCCAGAGGTGCAGAGGAGCAGCTGATACCACAGGGTAAGTTCATAGTTTCTGCTATTTCTCTTTCAAAGCACAAACTGTTGTTGTGCCCAGTCCTGTACTTATATCCCAAAAATCAGAAGGATCCTGTGGCCAGGAGCTCTTTGGAGCCTCACAGATGGAGAGGCTGAGTTTGTTCTTTGGGTTTTATTTGATCATATCAGGCTGCTTTGGTTGGAGAGGCCAAACACCAGTTTTGTCATTCCCCAGCACACAAGGAATGGAGAGGCAGATCATGGGAGCACGTGTGGCCAGAGCCAGCAGGGCATGTCCTGAGTGATGGAAGAAAACTCTTCTCTAGCTGGTGTGACCTGCTGGGGGCTCCAGGATGTCAGGGCATCACTTTCCTGCACTCCATACAAACAGAGCAGCTCCTGTGCAGGGAAAACCCTGGGGAGGAGGGCAGCAGATGGTGTGTTGCAGGTTAATGACAGAGCCAGGGAAAATCCAGGTCTCTGCACATCTGATTTGGTTCCCAGCAGTAGATTACTCACCCTCTGCCTTTTAAATAATATTTTTCCTGTGTTGTTTTACTTCATATTTTTGGAGGATAAACACCAGGGGTTTCAGCTCTCTGGAAGCAGTGGCACTGCAGAGAGCTGATTTATGCCAGCTGATTTGGCCTCCCTCCTTTTCCCTGAATCCTTCCCTCTTTCTTCCCCCTGTTGCACTTATCTCTTTAGAGCTGGCAACACCATTTGTCACCAGTGTGAGCCCTTGCCTGCCTCATTACCCAGTGCTGCCTCTCCAGCCCTTCCTGCAGCTCTTCCCCCTCCAGGGAAGGAAGTGCCAGCTTCTCTAAAGCTCTGCTGCAGCACTGCCATTGAGGATGCTGCAGGAAATGATTGCTCTGGGCTCCAGGACTTCATGGATTGAGTTAAAAGGTTGGACTGAAGGATTGAGGGTGATTTCCACAAGTGAGGGAATGTTCTGGCCCACACTCAGCAGCACAGCAAAACAGTTTCTGCTGTTCTTCCCTCTGTGCTGCAAGTTGCTGCAGGGAAGTTTGAGTTTTTTAGGGGTAGAAGCTGTTTCCAGTGCTGTGAAAAATGCACGTGCTTTCCTAAAAGAGCTCCTGTTCACCTGCCTGGGCTTCCCAGGACAGCATCCCATGCCAGCATCCCATGCCAGGGGAGATCCATCCTTCTACCCATAGAAAAGGCTGCAGTTTGTGTCCTGTGGATAAGCAAATTGTGGATCCAAATTGAAATCTGCCCTTAATTCCTTATTCAATACTCAAATTAAATCAGATCTTTGTTGATGACTGAATGCAACAAAAGTACAGGCTCACACTCCCACTCAAAGCCATTGAGAAATGTCATTTCCTCAGTCTGCCCAGTTTCATTGTGCATTGAAGGCAGAGAGATTTCATTTTTGTAAGAAAAAACAGTTTGGACTTCTCTGCAAAATGGAAAAAAAAGAAGAGAGGAAAGGGAATCTTTTCAGGAGGATCTAATATTGGGGGATTATTGCTTTGTTTTGAGAAATTAGGAGTCTGGGGTGATGAGGTTTTGTACTCCAGGTGAGCTATCCCACATCTAGAGTGGGAATCGTACCCAAATGTGGGAGCTGCAAGTCCTGTGAGCCTTGATGTGGTTGTGCAGCCCTGTTCCCTGGTACCAGCTGGGGAGGTGCTGTCCAGCTTCCTTCCTTTCCTCCTTCTCTCCCCCCATTCCCATCCATGCTCTCCACCCCCATATGCAGCATCTTCTGCTGGCACTGGTTTTGGGGGGTCCAGTACCTCTCCTGATACCTGGGAAGGAGAAATACTCTCCTTAAGAGTTGATCAAACCTTCAATTGCTCTGCTGTGTTGTGGTCATATGTACCACATGGACTGAAATCTGAAATCTGAGTGTGCTGAACTTTGGACTCACCCTGATCTCCCCCTGGCTTTGGGGTTTGCATCTGGCACTGCTTTTAAATCCTCTGAGCCCTTTGGTAGCCCAGAAACCCAGAGCCTCTGACGGTTAATGCCTTTATTGTAACCATTAACCACTTAATCTGAGCAGACAGAGCCACTTGCCCACACCTCCAGGGCATCAAAGCTTCAGTGCTGTTTGCACAGTGTTTAAATGTCTCTCCATGTCAGCCCAAGATCAGCAGTGCTCTTCTGAACAACACCATAAAATTGCCAAGTGTTGTTGGTATTTTGGTAGAAATGCTGTTTTGGGGAAAAACAGCATTAAGGTTTTATTTAGTGTCACCAGAAGTGGTGACTTTGGGATCACCAGCGCTGCCTCTGCACCTCTCCTGGGCTTACTGAGGTCTGAGTGCCAAGAAACATCCCATGGGCTGCAATCACTGCTCCTGGTGTTGCCCTGGAACCCTGCTCGGTGATGGTCATTACTGACAGACAGTTCCTGCACAAGGAGGAGCATTAATGTCACTTTGGGATTAAAAACCTGTGCACAGCACAGAGCCCTGAGAGATGAATGAACACAGGAGAAACCAGGGAAACATCATTGATACAGAACCTCTGGGCATGTGAATAGAGCAAGTGGGAGACAGGGTCTGATTGTCTTTGGCAAATCTGTTCTGTGTATTTTGGTACACTGGGATGGCTCAGGAGTTCATGTGTGTCTAGATGAGCCCAGCAAAGGACACCCAGACCCTGCCAAAGCCATTCAGGCCTTGGGAAGGGCTCAGTGTGGCTCTGCCCAGCACATTCCAGCTGGGGGTGCACATCCTGCTGACTTTTTGGGGATGGGGATGTGCTTTTTCCTTACAGGATTGAAGGAAGAAGAGGAGAAGTAAATTCCAGTCTGGCTTACCTGCCAGAGAGCTCCTGCCAGCAGTGGCCCCTGTCAGGGCACTGCTGCATTTCTGCCCTCTGCAGTTCATTCCCTCTGGTTCTGAGGTTGCTGAAGCCTTTCTGACTCAGCAGTGTCCTAACTTCCAGCTAATTTCCTTTCTAACATTTCAGGGATTCCAGGCCAGGTTGGTCCCCCAGGCCCGGTTGGCCCCACGGGGCTCCCAGGACCTCCAGGGCCCAAAGGAGAGAAGGGACAGCCCGGGGAGAGGGGCCCTGCAGGGCCACCAGGTGAGTCCTGCCACGGGAGAGGCTTCACTCCAACAAACTGGCTGTGACAGCAGCTCACACAAGGCCAGACACACAAGACTGAGCATCTTCAGTTGGTATCACATCCATCCCAGTGGGAATTCCCTGGGAGCTGGATCAGCCAGGAGCTCCCAGGGCAGGCAACCACCTGCAGGAGCAATGGCTGACCCTGGGATTTCCTGTGCAGCAGGAGACAGCCTGTCCCAGAAAGCTGCAGAGCAGGATCATGTTTCCCCATCCTGCTCAGGAGCTGTAAGAAGGAGCCTGTGACCTGTCAGCCTTTGGAGCAGAGCATTCCCTGTTTAACCCTCTCACTGGGTGCCTGCTTTAACTCCCTTTTTTCTCCACCATTTGTGTCAAGCTGTCAGATGCCAGGATGTCAAACTAATGATGCTTTTGTGTGTTAAGGGAAAAGGTTAGGAGGCCATTCTTTCAGAGAACACTCCATTCCTGAGCTAGGAGTCTTTCTTCATTCCCCAAACGTTCCTGAATGTTTTGATGAAGGTGATACTGCACAATGGGTGCCAGACCTCAGGCTCTGCTCTCTGTGTCTGAAAGGCTGTGCCTTGTGAGCCTGAGCTTGGGTAACATTTAAAACCCTGAGAGTGCCTTAAATGTGAACATTTTTTGGCACTTTCTGGCAAGCTGTCAGTGGCCAAGGTCTGGCCAAGGATGTGTCTTGGGGTTTTTTGGTTTCTCAGTTTGCAAGGAGAGCCTTGCAGCCCCACAGGAGATGTGATCTGTCTGCTCCTGGACTGACTCTGCTTCCTGGCAGGGAGGTGACACAGGTGTACCTGGAGGGAAGGAGGATTTGATTTCACACTTTGCTGCCTGTAGTTTCTCACGCAGCCTCAGGGAGAGCGGAGTTTTCACTCTTTCAGCAATTGGGCTGCTCAAAGGCAGCACCTGTGAGCCAAGTCAAGCTCTCTCCTTTGCAGAGGAAGATGCTAAACAAACAAAAAACCAAAAAAACCCCAAACCCCCACCCAAAAAAACCAAAAAAAAAAAACCAAAAAAAACCCCCAAAAAACAAAAAAAAAAAAAAAACCAACAACAACAAAAAACAACCAAAACAAAACCCCCCCAAAAAAAACCAAACCCAAAAAAAAAGGAAAATTGAGAAGCTGTTTCTATTTTCCCCACCCTTCTATGCAGTTCAGGACAGAAATCCTTTGTCTTCTTGCTGCCTTTGCACATGATGGCATTATTAGCACATCCCCAAAGGCATTAACACTCCTCTCCTGCCTCTGCACAGGGATGCTGGGACCTCAAGGACCAAGAGGACTTCCAGGAGAAACTGGGATCCCAGGTCCCCCAGGTCCTCCAGGGCCACCAGCCACGCCAAGCCTCCCTCTCACCTTCCAGCAAGGGGTTCTCTACTCACTGCAGCCCACAGCTGAAAAAGAAAGTAAGTTCCCTCCTCATTTTCCCTGTTCTCCTGTGGCATCAGCAGAGTGGGGCAGCTCAGCTCTGCTCCCACCTCCTTGCCAGGCTCTGCCAGGCCCTGGGAGCAGCTGGGCACTCCCTGCATTGTGTGGGTCTCTTGGGAGCTCCTGTTCAAAGTGGAACATCTTGGAAACCACAAGGAGTTCACCTCTCCAAAATGAAGAACCAAGCCCCTGCTCTCCTAAACTGTCAGTGAGAGCAGGGTTTGGAGGATTTTGTTCTCTGTGCCTGTTTTGTTTTTAGGTTCATCCCAGCTTTGGGGAGGTAATTTGGTGTTCTCTAAGCTTCCATCGGGAGTGGGAAGAGGGTCTCTGGTGAAATGGCAGAGCTCAGGTAGCATCACCTGAGAGAAAGGGCCAGAGGGATCCAGAGGGGCAGATGAGGTGCTGGTGCACCCCAGCTGTGGGGTTGGAGCCCTCTTGGTGCCACTGCTGTGGTGTTGGAGTGTCAGGGCTGCTCGGGAATCAGCAAGGACTAGAGATTTGCAGCTCTGGAATTCCAACAGACATTTAACACTCAACATCTGTTAAATGTGTCTTCTTCCCTGCCCCTGCAGATGCTTCTTCCACCTGTGTTTCTGGTGCATCCACATTATCCCACATGCACACAAAACACAGAATTATGGACTGGAGAGTCCACACTGCCACCCTGATTTATCCCTTCCCTGTAACAGGAGGGCCAGGGTTTCTTTGTGCTTATACTGATTTAAAGCATAGATTTATTTGATTTGTGCTATGAAAGCTTTCTAGGGAAGCACATCCTGCACTTGGATTGGAATGCTCTCAGATTTGGGCTTCATTCTCCTGGTGCAGCCCTGTGGAGCTGGCAGCAATGATGAGGGAGCAGAACTGAGCTGTGTCTGCCCTGGCTCTGCTGCTCCTGCCCAGCTTCAAAGCTCGGCTGTCTCAGTTACAGCCAAGGATTACTGAGTCTCCCCATGTCTGACAGTTATCTCAAACTCTCCCCTCCCTTCCACCCACTCTGCTCTCCAGACTCCTTTTCCCAAAAGTGAACAGATGTATTTTTAATTTAGGGAGAATTTTAACAGCTCGATTTTGTATTCAGTTATTAGGGTGTATGGGCAGAATGAGTAACTGAGGTTCAATACTGCGATTTTCACAAAATACACATCAACATGCTGCATTCTCCAGCCTGAGAACAAGGGAGTTCTGCATTACAGTTGTCTCACTCCTCTCAGGGTCACACATTCTGCCTTTTATTCCAAGTGATCCCTGAGGATGGTTTGGGTGCTGCTGCTGCCCCCTCCCTCCAACCTCCCTTTGAATTAAACTCTTCCTTGTGATCAGTGGACAAATTAAAAAGTGAATAAAGGCTTTGCATGGCCTTCCCAGCCGATGTGTGAGCAGGGTGAACTCAGTGTTGTGCCCAAATGGGAGAGGATAAATGGGGGATAATTATTTCTCTTGTCTCTGCAGCACAGGAACCTGAGGGCAGTGAGGAGATGGTGACTGCTCCATTTCCATCCCTGGGCATTCCTCCCTCCATGCCTGGGCATTTCTTGGTTTGCAGAAGGAGTAGCCCAAAACGTTATGACACTTTTTCTTAATGCAAATCCAGCTGCAAGTGTAAGTTATCTATGTCACCATGACAATGTTCTGGCAGTATCAAGTTTATTTTCTCACCATTTTTCCTCTCTGTTGGCTGATTTTGCCTCCCACAGGTTGGTGGAAAGCTGATCTTCTGCCACCATTAAAACTCAGCCTTGTAAATTCTGCTTAGCTTTTTAAAAATGTATTTACTTGTTTTGAAAGGAGCACATCTGAAAACTATAAAACACAAAATTCCAGCTGCTGACAGCAGAGGGAAGCATATTCCTGCTAATGGGAATGAGATGTGAGAGCTGTATCAGGTTATTGTTATTATAAAGAGTTTGGTTCTGCCTGAACATGGTTAATGGCTGTGCCTTTATTAATTGCAGCAAGTTCCTGTTGGCAATATTAATCTGCAGGCAGAAGCCAGAAATAGGGAGACAAATATTTTCTCAGTTTCCCTGTGCTGTGGTAAAAGAATTGGTCCCATTTTTTCCCTCCAGATCAGGTAGCAGAAAAAAAATTAAGACAGGATTACTTCATTTCCATCCTGTCTCAACAAATCAAGGCCATAATGGGGGAATTTATCCCTTAGTCAGAAACCTCAGCCCTCAGCCAGGAACTGAGCTGCTGCTCCCCACTGCTGGGGCTGCTGCTACTGGGATCCCTCAGTTAAAAATGAGTGATCAGATACATGGGCTAGAGCCAGCTCATTCCTATTCCTTGTGCTAACATGGGTGATTTCTAGGGAATAGTTAGGGAAAATAATGCAACTCTCACTCTTGAGAGCTGTTTCCTTCCAGCTCCAAGATCTGCCAAGGACACATGAAATAAAATTAACCTGTTTTCATAGAATCATCACTGTTGGAAAGATCAAGGCCAGATCAAGATCAAGCCCAGCCATCAAGCCATGTCCTCAAGGGCCACAGCCACACATTTTTAACTCTTCCAGGGATGGTGACTCCACCACTCCCTGAGGGAGAACAAGGGGAAACTGAGGCAGAGCATGCTGGTGTGCCCAGCATGTCAGAGGTGATCAGGGGGAGGGATCAGTGCAGCACCATCCCAGCTGCCAGCAGGGCCCTGCCTGGGGAAGGAGAACAGAGCAGGGGAAGGGAAGGGGAACGAGAGGAGGAAAGGAATTGAGAAAACTGATTTCTTTCCAAGTGTGCTCTGAGCTGCCTTTGCTGCTCTGGCTGGGCAGATTTCCCTGTGTCCTTCAGGGCATTTCTGTGCTGGTTCAGGGTGTCTCTGTTCCATTCCAGGGAACACAGGTGCTCCTACCTGGCCAGGCCACACTGGTTTCTCTTGTCCCCTTGGCTTGGAAAGCTCCTGGAGCAAATTCAGTATCAAGGATTCTCAAATGAAGCATTGTCTGCTGCTTTGGGGTACCCAGGAGCTCTGAACCAGAATACAGCTCTTGAGCCCAGCAGAGCCTGGCTCAGTGCAGGAGGTGGCTGACAAGGGAAGATTCCTGCTACCATTTGATGCTGTTTTGTGGCTGCTCTAACAATCTCCAGCTGCAGAGAGCCCCAGAATGTCCCCATTTATAAGGGAGTTTATAAGGAGATACAAGTTCTTCCTGCTGCTTTATGAGAACATGGAGGAATCCCTTAAAAACACATGAGGGTTGTGTTTTAACACACTTCAGCCCCATTTCATTGACAGTGTGTTTCATTCAGAGCTGATCCTGGACAGAAAGCTGGCTCTGAAGGAGCTGGCCAGGAAGGAGCTGGCACAGCCCTGGGCTGCCCAGGCCAGACAGGAGTTGCTGAGCCCAAGGGTTGTTGATCAGAGCTCTCCTCTGTGTCACAATCATGGAATCACCTTTCATTAAATAATGTTGAGTCAAATGTCAGCAGGGGTGGATTTGTGGGAGTAACTGTCATGGTAATAATGTGCCATTTAGCTGGAATGTTTTGTAACCCAAATCTTTATCCCTGGCTTACGTCCAGCAGAAATTAAACCCTGGTTGTTTGCTGTCCATCCTCTGCCCCTCTCAGTGGATGTGCAGTTGATTTTATTGGTCACTTTAAAAACAAAAAGCTCTGCAACTGTTAATGCCTTCATTGCTGTTTGATGCTCATTTTCCAATTTCATCTTACTCCCAAGCTGTGATGGATTTTGACATGGTCAAATAAAACTCAAATTAATTGGATTACACACTTCACTGGGGTACCTTTCCTCCTGAACATGAGAAGAGTCTCAGTTGTTTTGTTTCAGGGCTGTGAGGAGGGGGAATGAATGGGTTTAGAAACAGCAGTCAGATGAATACCTGTTTGCATTCAGGTTTTAGGCACAAAATGTGGTTCTTAGAGGGATCTGGGTTGGATCTTGTGCTGTCCTGCTGCCAGGAAGGCATTGCAGAGCTATCCTGTCATCCTTGGCAGCCCAAGCCATTGCACAGCTTCCCCTGGAACTGCTTTCAAACACCTGCCTTGGAAATTCTCTCTATCACTGCTCCAGAAGCTGGGAAGGCTTCACAAAGTGGCTGCTAAAATTTCTGGAGAGTTCACCTTCTGACCTATGGGCTGGACTCTGCAGAGTAAGCAAACACCCTTCTGACCTTCCTGGTGTCACTTGGCATCTGCAGTGAGACATTCCCAGCCTTTTCCTGCCCAGGGTTCCCCTGGATTTTACTGTGATGAGTTACAGGGATGAGTAGAAGGAAACATGAGTAAGCTTGAGGTCATGGGCAGGAGGAGGTGGACATTATTCCTTTATGGCAGCTTCAGCTGTGGAAAATGTGGGGTTTTCAGAGGGTTTGCCATCCTGGTGACCAGGAGCCAACATCTTCATCCAGGTTAAACAGGAGATTGGTCCTTCAGCAAAGGGTCAGGACAAAAAGCCTTGGTAGCACCAAGATGTGGGGTCCCTTGTTCTTGTGCTTGTTTTGGGGCCTTGTTGTCTTGGTTGCTCATTGAATTTTTGCCCCAGATTCCCACAACTGCCCCAAAGTGTTGTGGGGTGCTCAGATGAAAGGTGCTGCCACCTCCCCAGATTACAGCTGTGCCACAGTACAGGTCCACAGGGAACAGGGTTGGAATATGGTTTTGACATCGCAATAAATACTGAGGGTTGCTTTTTTATTTATTTATTCTTCTCTCTTTCTTGGTTTCTGTGTCAACGACCTTGGTAGAAAATTCTTTCCGGGGCAAACATGGATCCTCTTATCAAACTTTTCTGGCTCACAGAACTCGCTGTAAAACGTCTTCCACAGCAGCCTTGGAGAGCAAAGCAGGTGCTCGAGGAGCCCGAATTCAGCATCCTGCAGCGCTGCCGGCCCAATCCATCCTGCAGCACTGCCTGCAA